AGCAATCTCACAGCAGGACTTTTGGCAGACACATGTATTATGTGTCAAAACCCGAGTGAAAATAAGTGATGGGAAGCACAAAAATCTGATGGGAATACTTATAATAATAAGGAAATGAATAAACATCAAAATATTAACACATAACCATGAAGAGATGCAGCCAGAAAGCTTCCAAGCTGTTACTTGTCTATGATCAGCAAGAGCCACTGTTTTGAGAGTTAATATATGTTTCATATTAATATAGATAGCATTAACATATGCTAGACTTACTTAGGCTTATACACCAATTTCATCTACTTATATTCCTATTTGTTTTAATAATGTTCAAAAGCAAAGCTCTCAAGATGAGCTTTAAATGTGCTATAAAATGCACATAGATTAATTTATAAATACTATTTTATGTATTTATATTGTTCTGTTTAGCAAGTGCTTGTATACTTATTAACCACGCTTTCCAAAAACACTCATATAAAATGAGCTTATTATAACCCTCCTAGCTGTTATACTCATTTTGTTAGCAGCTATGGCTAACATACATAGTTAACACCATGCATAAATGGTGTTATTTATACAATTTGCTTTCCACGGTGCATTTTTATTACCCCAGTGAGAATAATATCTGTCTCATAACTAAAGGTAAATCACATGGCTCCTTACCTGTTAATGCAGCCACCTTTGGTTCCTCTCCGTCATGCTGGGTTATCACCAATCCTTCCTCAGTGTTTCCTCTGCAGCACCTTCCTCAGCCAATGCTCCAGCCTGACCAAGGAACACAGCTCAGCACCCCGGCCTCCCAAGGACAGACACAGAGTCAGGGCTTGGAAACACTCCATCACTTCAACTAGCTTAGGAAAACAAATCATTTGGGAAGTGGAAACATAACCTGGCTTTTTTTATGCTCAGTAGGTGAGATCATATGCAAGAGGGTCTGAAGGTGCAGTTTTCTGAATATATTGGGTACAATATGTGGGTACGATGCTGCTGGAAACACTGATGATGTCCCTGAAACGTGGTGATGATTTCTGCCCTAAATATTCTCTACACCCTTCCAAATGCAGGCTCTTCCTGTTGCAGGACTGGGAGAGAATGAGCAAGAAGAACCATGAAGCTTGGGGAGAGGGTATGGTGGAGATGGAAAGACTGAGGAGGAGAGCACATGTCTGAAGGACTATCTGGGACTAGAAGAATGAGAGGGAATTCAGAACAATCACCCGGCAGAGATAGGAGAGGGACTTTTCACAGGAGCACATAGAACAGGACAAGGGGGAATGGCTTTAACCTGACAGAGGGGAGATTGAGATGAGCTCTGAGGCAGAAGCTCTTCCCTGTGAGGGTGCTGAGGCGCTGGCACAGGGTGCCCAGAGAAGCTGTGGCTGCCCCATCCCTGGCAGTGTTCAAGGCCAGGTTGGACACAGGGGCTTGGAGCAACCTGCTCTAGTGGAAGGTGTCCCTGCCCGGGGCAGGGGTCGGAACTGGATGAGCTTTAAGGTCCCTTCCAACCTAAACCATTCCAGGATTCTGTGATATTAACAGAGCTTCAAAAAGAGTGACAGATGTAGACTCCAAAGGATCGATGAGACAGAGAGTCTCACCATAATTTTGAGCCATGGTGGCACTGGGCTTCATTAAAAGTCTCATTCAGGAAGCCAGAATTAGCTGGAATTCTGCCTCATTCACTGAAAACAAATCGATGTTTTTATCTTTGTAGACATAATCCAGATTTCTGTGGTGCTTGTTTGGCTCCTTACTTTGGTGAAAGGGTTATTTCCAACCAACTAGAAATGGTATAGCCAAACTAAAATAAACAGCTAGTCCTATCCAGTCTCCACTTGTGAAAAGACTGTTTATGCTATTTAATCACAGAAAAACCTACAAAATCTGTTTCAAAGCATAAACTCTTCATTAATCTGCCTAGCTAGAACTACATTTTAGTTCTAAAACATGGTTGTGTGTTTTGAACTGATAGGTATCCCTTCTAATCACTGCCACTCCTTTACTTCCCACATCTTGCTGTTCACTGAACACACAGTCAGACTCCAAGACACTGAATTCCTACAGGTAATACAGAAGTCACACTCGGAGCTATTACTTAGAATAATTCACGGAGACTAGAAATAACTTTATTTTCTATACTTGCAAGTCAAACAGGCCTGCTGAAAAGCAATTACAAACTCAACATGCGGGTTCTTTTGCATTTACTGAAATGTGTTGATACTGGAAATGAGAAAGCTCCCCATTTATTTCCAGTTAAAATAAAGAATGGTATTTTTAGCCCTGGTCACAGCTCTGCATTTTCTTACCACTGTTTTATGCTCATTTAGCAACAGATGATAGAATAAGGCAATCTTACTTTAGGGATTAACTCTCACAAACTAACTCTTACAAACCCTCATAATTTGTACTAAATTAAGTATCTCTAAACTCAATAATTCTCAATGACAATATCTTCTTAAATAAAAGTGTAATAGTGGTGAATTTTTAGCTCCACTGAAGCCAGTGGCAAAGTTTACAGAACTTCATCCTTGGACTCTATTCCACTTCTAAAGCAGAGGTATCAGTCCTGAAAAAATACTGCACTGATTTCCTTCCGAAATAACACTAAAGAAGTGAGTCAGATCTCACCTTAATACATCAGATGAATTTAACTGAATTTATACATACATATATATAGTTCAGGAAGAGTCCCAAGCCCAGCATGCCATGGTGCTGCAGTTCCAGTGGAGGTCAGAAAGCAACAGCACCATTTCAGAATTCACCAGAAATGGTCATTTACTTTTAGTGGTCACACTAACAACAACCTTATGCTGTAATCAACTTTCAATCTTATGTCACTTTAACTGCAGTTGTTAAAAGTTCCCCAAGAGAAACAGCATCAGTCAGAAGTCTAACACATATCTAGAAGGCATATCAGTAACGAATAGTGGGCACAAAAAGATGGAGCTCTTCAAGAACTCTCTGTGGTGACATTAAGTCTGCTCCCTTGCTGTGTAACAGAAACTTTAACTTCTTCAGGACCACAGCGAGGCAGTCATGAAATGGCAATCTTCATAACTGATAATCTTTAGGATTTTGCAAGTCATCCTGGAATTTCTCGGTGCCCATTAAGTGGTTTTATAGCATACAAAAAGGCTTTCTCATCTATTGTGGTTTTAGGCCATACGGGCATCGTTGCTTTTCAACATACTGTGTAGACAGAAAACATTATACTAGTTGACATTTCACTCAGTGGCAAGAGTATTTTCTCCACAGAAATGAACTCTTTATACTAATGTAGTATTTAGTGGTTCCCCCATGGCAACAGGTTTAGATAAGACATGGACAAGCTAGATGGTACAGTATACAGAAACTTCTGGGTGCCAGGCAAAAGGTTAACACATCTCAGCTATAATGCTGGTAGAATGAATCAGTTTCGTTGCAGGCTGGGAGTAGATCAACACAATACATCCCAATTAATAAAACATGAAATGACTTTTTAAAATCACTGATGAAGCTGTACTGTGTATTAATGATATAACAATGATCAAAAAGACATGGAAAAAAAAGTCAAATCTGCAATGTACTTGAATAGTCTGTTCCACATAAAAAACAGTGATCAATAATACCGGCCAAGTGCTTAAAATTAAATCAAACTCATCAATGATGGGAGATATAACCTTCTTTCTAGGGAAAACCATCTACACATGTATTCTTGAATAAGAATCTTTATTCTAACATTAACAGGAAACTTCAAGTTGATTCAAGGTAAATTCTAGCTCTTGTTATCCAAAAAGGTACGAAACACAAATGCACTGGGATTGTTACGATGTTGTAATACATTACTGAATTATACAAGTGTTATTTCCCAAAATGCCTGTAACTTGTATGACTTGATAGGGGCAGAGACTACTAATGACAACATTCAGGTCTCAGATAATAAAGTGCTTTCATAAAGCATCACAACTTCCAGTGTTTCCAACAGAAGTATTTAATACAATGGTATTAAGATGTTAACATACAAGATGTTAACCTGTGAGCTGCTGCACCATAAACAAAACAGTAAAAAATGCAGGAATATGATATTTAAGTCTTCCCATGCAATTCAGAAGAAAAAACAATTGCAACAAAACCCAGCAGTGGTACCTCATGTCTGGTGTTTTTAGCATAGTTCTGAAATGTGCACCGAAGAGCTGCAGGATAAACCTTCCAAGCTCTATTTCACATTAGTGGAAATTTTTAAATTACAATATCCACTCTTTTTAGACAAAGGATAAGGCTTATACCAAAAACCCACTGTGCCTCTTGGCTGCATATCTTTGGTATATTTATAGTGCAACTATTCTGTTTCATTTCTAAAGGGGAAAGTTTTCCAAAGCACTGCATCCCCTGCCACTAAGAATCCACTGTGAACTCCTACATTCACAAGGACCTCAGACACTAACCTACTGCTTCAAACAAATGAAGAATGTGCAGTGAAAATAATTTCTTCCTGTTTTTAAATATACTATTGAAATAAAAATCAAACCATGCCAGATTTCACATTAGAAAGTCACAGCACGTTTCAATTCTCTTTGCAAGAGTCTAGGAGCATACGAACGCGAGCATAAATTTCATGGCAATTTTTAATGACAGATATCCAAGGTGCTATTTGAAAACAGTTGTAATTGAATTATTGTTAATCTAGATTTAGTCAATCTTTGTCTCTACAAAAAAAAAAAGACACCTGTTTTTCATTTTGCTTAGACACTTAGAATTATTCAAAATGCATAGAAAGGCTAGAGCTACTTCATTAAAATATATTGCAAGCATGTTTTTCTAACCTTATATTGCTAAAGCCTTGCTGTATTGTAAATTTTATCGGAGTTGGCCTTAAAACACAGTACCATGTATTCACACAAGCCTAGATATATACCTGTAGTTCATACTGCTATTTGAGGAGGCATACCAACACACAACTATAGTACGTATCATCCAGTGGCAGTGCAATAGACTGTGGCGCCGTCAAAATGTCATTTCATCATTTCTCAACTTCTAAACAACAACATTCTTTCTGAACAGGTCTGTCCAACCAGACTTGCATATTGCTGGACACTGGCTTCGTCGCTTGGCCCCTTCCTTCTTTTCTTATACACACTGTAAGGCATGACAATTCTCTTGTGGAGTACTCTCACCCTGCCCAGTTCCTTGATCCGACCTTCATCAACTGCAAAGAGAATCAGAGAACGTAAAAATTAGTTATGCATATTGTCCCTCTGATCTTAATTTATGCAACTACAACAGGCATAATGAAAACTGTATGGAGTAATAAAACTAATCTGCAGATGAACAGCAGATGAAAGCAGAGCTGCTTTACAGAGCTGTCTTCATGAATCATGGTTGGAAACAAACCTTAGCTTGCGAAGTAACTGCATCTGCGGTGTGTGAAAAGCTAAATTGTGCATCACATATTTCTAATGGTGATATATAGCATTTCTGAACAGAACTTCACTGCTGTATTTTAAAATTCACCTTCATTTAATGCTTGCTGGAGCCCACTGCCAGAAGTGAAACTTTATCTGGGAAATACTTTCAAACACAACCGACCAGAAGCAACTCACTGTTGTTGCCATATTGCACTTAATGACTAAAATCTCTTGCAATATCCACCAGCACAGAGTCCTCCCTTGCCCCAGTTGTTAAAAGTGTATTAAATCCAGCAAGAAGCCTCCATGCTGTTGGCCTTAGGTAAGCATCAGGCAATAAATTACCTTCCCCAGCCCTCCAATCCCCATCTTTTTTTCCTCATTTATACTAGTTTCTGTCCTCCTTTAGTAGAATGAAGTTAAACACACACCCTTACTTCAAGTCTGACCCCCAAGAGAGGTAGTGCAAGCACTAGCTGGGTGAACACAACATAATTCCTCAAGCTTTCAAAAGATACACACACACCACAGTTGAATCTTGTTAACCTCATCTACAGACCCCTTGTGACTTAATTTAACCAGAATCATACACATCAGAGCATCGTTGAGCGAATTAAAACTTCCTTGTTTTTATGAATCCAATCGATGCTACTATTGCTGAATAATAATGTTATATAGCTGCTGTGTGTGAGAAAAATTGGCTTTAAAGTGCTAGAAAACTCTTTACAGAGAGAAAATGCCACACACCTGAGGCCATTGCAGGGAAAAGTATTACAGAATACTGGTAAAAAAACACCTTAGGCTTTCCAGAGCTTCAGGTTTAAAAAGCCACCAATGTAAGAGTCAACTTGAACACAGAATCTGAAATATGAGTTTGAGAAAGGAACCATACAAACTCTAATGGTAACAGAGAAGAGATGCTTACTAGAATGTCAGAATGTCAGCATTTAGGGACATAAACTATGCAAAGACTTAATCTTATTTTGGCATTGTTGTGGTTTAACCCCAGTAAGCAGCTCAGCCACATGCAGCTCCTCGCTCACTGCCCCCCTGGTGGGATGTGGGACAGAATTGGAAGGGTAAAAGCAAGAAAACTTGTGGTTTGAGATAAAGACAATTTAATAGGTAAAGCAAAAGCTGTGCACACAAGCAAAGCAAAACAAGGAATCCATTCACCATTTCCCATTCACTCTCCTTCAGCCACCCCCAGGACAGCAAGGCTCCGTCATGCCTTACAGTGACTTGAGAAGACAAATGCCATCCACTCTCAATGTCCCTCCCCGCTTCCTCCTTGTTCCCCCAGCATTATATACTGAGCATGACTCCATATGGTGTGAAATATCCCTTCTGTCAGTTGGGGTCAGCTGTCCTGGCTGTGTCCACCCCAACTTCTTGTGCCTCCTCGCCAGTGGGGTGAAGTGAGGAGCAGAAAAGTCCTTGACTCTACATAAGCCCTGCTCAGCGATGATAAAACATCCCTGTGTGATCAACACTGTTTCCAGCACAAATCCAACCATAGCCTCATACCAGGTACTTCCCCAGCCAAAACCATCACAGGCATCACAACATTCTTCTGACTGAGGAGCCAGCACAGGTAAGTATAGTACAGCTTTAAGTATTGCACCAGTCTGCCTCAAATTAAGATATTCGTCATGTTCATATATACTTGCTGCTTGTAGGTTAGAACATTTAAGGCTCTTTGAACAGGATCTCAGTGGTATCCACTCTACACTGTTCCACGCTTACGACACCCACAATTAGCCTTCTGCTGATCATCAGTTGACTCAAACCAGCTGCCATGGAAAAAGAGGTAACTCAAATGGCTACTTCATGGGCAAATATAGGTTTTATTTGTAAGAGGATAAAACAGAGATAGAACTTTCTCAGCGTATTTCACAAAAAAGATGCAAAGTGCAAAGGATGTGACATGAGCTCTGGGAAGCAAAGCAGTCACAGAGTTCTGTCTTCTTTTTGTTCTACATAGCTGCTCACTAGACTTGCCACAGGTAAGCTAAACAACTTGTCTGGAAGAAGCTGAAGGAATTTGTAAGACAAATCTCTACTCAAAAGTAGCCTTTACTATGGAAAAGCTTAATATTCCCTTTTGGACCTTCTTTATGCTTTAATGAAGACAAAAGAGGTCATGAAACTCATTTCTTTGCAGGACATTCTTAAGAACCTGCCCCTATTCATCCACAGAAATGCCTTATCAACATTTTCCTGC